TAGCAAGTATGAAAACATACTGTTTCAAGTCAAGTTTTAACATAAACAGATAACGTTTTTTTTTTATTCAATCAACCCTAGAATTATTTAGGAATGCAAAGAACACGAAACCTAAGGGAAAGAGTAAGGATAGAACTTGCATTACACCAACGTCCGTCTATAATCTCCGACGAATCCTTTGTTTCTTCACTTGGTTGATTCCCCAGACGTCTCCAAACTTCATGTGTCTTACTATGGCGTAATATACTTCTAAAACCCTAGGCAGACACCGTATATGAGTATTTATAAGCCATACTAATCCTAGGCTCTCTCAACCCTAATTGGATTTACACGGCCCATAGAGAAATCTAGGTTAAAACTTATGTCGGCTACTTAAGTGTATACTATATATACAACAAACCCTAACAGTTACGTTAACAAAAAAATAAATTACATTTAATTAAATAAATTCATAACTTTAAATATATACTTAACACAATTAATTAAAACAAAAAACAATTAAATAATAATTAACATAATAATACAATTAAAGCAATAATTAAAACCATTAAATAAAAACAACTAATTTAAATCAATGAAACAAACACAAATACACTTAAACAATTAAAATTTAAAATTTAAACAATAAAATAAATACCAGGACTATCCTTTTAAAATTAGGGGTATTTGTTTTTATTACCTTTAATTATTTCCAGCTTGATCACAATAAAAGTTTGTTTGACAAAAATAATAATTTACTAAATAAATATATAGAAAACATTTTGTCTAAAACATACGAAAGCCTTTGAATTTAATTTGTGATCAACCATAATTAATACAAAATAAATATAAGTAGCACTGATGCAAATATTGATAATATAACTCTCTAACTATTAATTACATAACTACTCAAAGTATCAGTCTAAGGATCCCGAAATATCCGCCGAATAAATCAAAGTAATTATTAATTAATAAAAAGAGTCTATACTTCTCTCATACTTGAGAGTCAAAAAGCCATAACTGTAATAGAGAACAATTGCATACGACGGTTCTCGCAATATATCTCAACCTATTATGGACTCGGTTCAAGTCTTAGTTAATTAAATGTCCATCCATAATTACCGACTTTGAACCATTTATGATTACTAATTTATAACTTAGTATTAATTGCCATTACATACATATATAAAATATATCTTGTAATCAAGTGGACACAATCAATTCCATAATGAATCAGAAAAATAAGACATTCCATTCACCAATTGTATAATGCCTTAATAATAATATTCAGATAAGGAACCATGACTTTTACAATCCAAATAAGAATTTGTTATGCTAGGGCACACATATCCCAATTGCTCCCACTTGCCCTTATAGCCAATTCGAATCACATCTAACTCCCATGTTTTCATATGACGATTAAACATCTTGATTGGTAAAGCCTTTGTGAATAGATCAGCAAGGTTATGTTCCAATGCAATCTTGGCCACAAGTATATCTCTTCACTTTACTATATCACGAACCACATGATGTTTCCTCTGAATGTGCCTTGTTCCTTTATGAAATTTTGGGTCTTTGGTTTGGGCTATAGCCGCACTATTATCGCAATGAAGCATCATAGGCCGATCTATATGCTCCACAACCTCCAGTTCAATTAGAAAGTTTCTCAACCAAATAGCTTCTTTTGTTGTCCCCTGCTTTACACTCTTCCAACTAACTGCCCCTCCATTGAGTTTGAACACATATCAAGATGTAGATCTCCTCGCATCTGCATCCGATTAGAAATTAGAATCCATATATCTTACTGGAACCAGATCATCGCTTCCATAAACGAGCATGAGATTCTTAGTTCTTCTAAGGTATTTTAAGATATTCTTCACAGCTAGCCAATGATCAAGTTCAGAATTTGACTGATATCTACTGACAATCCCTACAAAGTAACAGATGTCTGGTCTGGTACAGACCATGGCATACATGAAACTGCCAACTGCCGAAGCATATGGTATCCTCTTCATTTGCTCAATTTTCTTATCAGTCTTGGGAGACTGGTCATTAGAAAGAGCCAATCCATATTTAAATGATAAAAACCCTTTCTTAGAGTTTTCCATTCCAAACCTGGTCAAAACTTTGTCAATGTAAGACTCTTGAGACAAGCCTATTTACTTTTTAACTCGATCTCGCAAAAGCTTGATCCCAAGAATATAGCTTGCTTCTCCAAGATCTTTTATCTCAAATTTATTGAACAACCACCTTTTAACTAATAACAAAGCCTCTATATCATTACCAATGAGTAAGATGTCATCAACATATAAAACGAGAATCATGATGATATTACCCTGTTTTTTCTTGTAAACGCAAGGTGCAAACACGTTTTGTTCAAAACCAAATAATTTAACTACCTAATCAAAACAAATGTTCCATGTGCGTGAAGCTTGCTTAAGTCCATAAATAGACCTATTCAACTTACACACACTGTCCTTACAACCTTTAACCACGAAACCGTCTAGTTACCTTATGTAGATGTCTTGTTCAAGATGGCCATTTAAAAATGTCGTCTTAATATCCATCTGCCATATCTCATGGTCATAATGAGCACTAATGGCCAAAAGAATGCAAATAGATTTAAGCATTGCAACTGGTGAGAAAGTATCCTCATAATCAATACCTTCACGTTGAGTGAAGCCTTTGGCAACTATTCTAACTTTGAATGTCTTAACATTCCCATCCATTCCTCTCTTTCGTTTGTAGATCCACTTACAACCAATGAGCTGAACCCCATTAGGAAGTTCCACAATTTCCCAGACTTCGTTAGAATACATAGATTCCAACTTTGATTTCATGGCATCTTTCCAACGACTCACATCTATATCGATCAACGCTTCCACATAGCTTACTGGGTCCAACTCATGCTTATCGGGGACAGTCTCATAGACCTCACCCAAAAGCGTTAGCTTATCGGGTCGGATGATAGTCTTCCCACTACGACGAAGGACCGGTGCAGGAATCGATGTACTAGATGATGGTATTTCAACAGAGACTTTTTGTGTCTCATCATTCTCAGTATTTATATTAGGTGTGTCCACAGGGGGTATATCTGATGTGCCAACCATCTCCTCTAACACTATTTGGCTACTAGGTATGTAGTTCATACTATAATCCTCTTCCAGGTATACAGCATGAGTGTTGACAATAACCTTATTGTCCCTGGGATTATAAAATAATCCACCCTAGTGCCCTTATGATAGCCAAAAAATAAGCATGCATCTGATCTTGCTTCCAACTTGTCTGTCTGTTTCTTACGCACGTGTGCTGGACACCCCAATATATGCATGTGATTTAAACTAGGTTTCTATCCAAACCACAGCTCATATGGTGTTCCTGAAACAGACTTGGATGGAACATAGTTCAAGATGTACATCGCTGATTCTAAGGTTAATCCCTAAAATGATAGAGGTAATGTAGCAAAACTCATCATCGATCTAACCATGTTAAACAAAGTTCTGTTTATCCTTTATACCATTCCATTCTGTTGGGGGCAATCAGGTGCGGATAATTGGCGTGCAATACCCTCATTGACCATATGATCCTTGAACTCCCCCAAGAGGAATTCATCTCCTTAATCAGATCGAAGTGTTTTGATAAGTTTACCTAATCTACGCTCCACTTACGCCTGAAACTCACGGAATTTTCCATAAGCTTCTGACTTGTGTCGCATTAGGTAAATATATCCAAAACGTGAATAATCATCAATGAAAGTGATGAAGTACTCAAACCCTCCTCTTGCTTGGGTGTTCATAGGACCACACACGTCTGTGTGCACTAACTCTAATTGTTCTTTGACTCTATATCTTTTGGCTGAGAAAGCCTTTTGAGTCATCTTTCATTCAATACAGGATTCACAAGTTGGCATAAGCTCCTCTGCCTCACAAGGTAATAAACATTCTTTAACCAACCTTTGAATCCTATTTTGATTGATGCAACCCAATCGTAGATGCCAATGATATAATGAGTTGAGAAACTACTTTCTTTTAACATTTAATCTAGATGAAGTTGCATTTAATTCATAATTTTGCATTTGATATGAGCTAGGAGTTAAAATGTATAGACTATCTTTCAATGCACCAAAAGTTATAACACAACCATTCAATTTAATTAAAACAGTTTTCCCAAAAGTAAAAATATAGTTTTTGCAAACCAACGAATAAACTGAATTAAATTACGCCTAACATTTGGCGCATAAAGATAATCTTCTAAAATAAGACTCCTCCCACTATCAAACTGCATATGAACCACTCCCACTGCTTTAACTTCCACCTTTGCATTAAATCCCATATGCAAGTATATCTCTCCTTCATTAAGGCTTCTGGACTCCTGGAATCCCTGCAATGAATTGAAAACATGATTAGTGGTTCCAGAATCTATGCACCAGGAATCTATAGATTCAACCATATAACATGCCTCAACAATGAATATACTTTTTTCATTTGCCTTGCGTGCGAAGTGTTGGGTAGTTAGGTTTCTAGTGACCCGGTTGACCACAATGGAAGCGGTTTCCTTCGCCTTCAACCCACACTTTCTTCTTTCCCTTATCTTTTTGGATCACTTTATTTGGCACAAACACAGTTTGGGCACCATCATTCTTCTTCTTTTTGCCCTTCCTCTTGGGCCTAGAAGTGGATGGTCCAGCAGACTGAGTGTAGTTGATAAATACACCCTTACTTTTGATTATCCCTTCAAAGGCTACCAACTCATTCAAAATTTCAGCGAGTGAGTACTCAAGCTTATTCATAGAATAATTAACCCTAAAAGAGTTGAATGAGTCTGGCAATGAAGCGATAATCATGTCAATCTGAAGTTCACCATCCAAGTTGTATCCAAGGATCTCAAGTTCATTTAGAAAACCAATCATTTTTAAAACATGATCCCGAACTGGAGTACTTTGGACCATCTTGGTGGTCATCAAGTTTGTCATAGTGGTTTGGCGTGCACTTTTACTAACTTGCCCAAATATTTCCTTGAGGTTAAGCATGACTTTTGAGCAGATTCAAAAGTGAAGCAAGAATGTAGCACCTAGTCATCTCATCTACTTTATTCCACTCCTTAAAAACTTCATGCTCCTCAAGAGGATCCTCAAGCAAAGGTGGAGAAGGTCGGGGAGTAGGAAACACATAATTGAACCCTTCATATGTGAGTACAATATCTAGTAGCCTTTTCCAATCGATATAATTAGGTCCAGTTAACCGATTTCTTTTAGTATGTTTTGCAAGTGGACTAAATGGACTAGTCATGATAAATCTGAAAATAAAAACATTCATACAATAAATAAGGTGAATAAAAATAATCATGCAAAATAAAAAAATTAATGAATTGTGGGTCCCTTAACCAATTTGTATGAAAAATTGGACAATTAATATGCCAATAACTTATTCGGTTGGTGGAGTTCATTATTACTATTGACGAGAAAAACTTATTATTTTCATATTTCTTTAGGCAATGCCTTATCTATATATGAAATAATTCTCGATTTTATTTAGCCTTTCTAAAATCACCTAGTATAGACCAATCCGTTAGGGAGCTAATACTATTGATTTTAGATTGAGTGTATAACGTTATTAATGCTCCAACAAAAAATCAAATATTAAATATATTGCCATTATAAGTTTAGACTCTTTAAATCATGCGTGGGGCCTTATTTTTAAAGATCTAACTATAATGGACATTTAATAATTATATTTACGTGAGACCACTATTCTTGTAATCTAGACTCTTTAAATCATGCGTGGGGCCTTATTTTTAAAGATTTAATCACAATGGTTATAATAACGAATGCCATGAGGTAATGTATAAAAATTCCCACTCCCACTCAATTTTTAATTATTTATAATTAGGATTTTCAATTCATGATTTAATGCATGCAAAACGCCTTGATTTTAATCCAATTAAATTTAGAAAATATCTAAACTTTAAATAATTCACTAATATTTAATTTGAGGCACACTTTAAAAATAATTTACAAAAATAATTTTTCGTTTCCCAATAAGTGCCCTCTAATTAATTAGTAATCAAATTCAATTAATTTTCATAATTTAATTAATATAAATCAAGTCATTTAGATAAAAAAAAAATCATAAATCCAGTGCATGAACAATAATAATAATTAGCAATTAATTATTTCATGTATCACATAAATAGTTAAACAACAGACAAAAGCAAATTAAATAGCCAATGGAATCAGCTTTTAACATTTAAATACTATTCTTGCTGTACGAGCGTCCACCAATAGCTTGTAAACACCTGTAGGGAGCTGGTACACACTTAGAGAAACAAAACAGCCCTTGGAGCACGCCCGGAGGACCCTGCACGCGCTGGCACTCTCCTGGGGGTGCAGCAGTGCGTGGCACGCGCCTGGGGGCGCTGTGGCGCGTGGCACGCGCCTGGAAGGCACGTCAGCCAACATCCGGTGTGTGATCCCATGCCTGGTGTATTAGTAGGTGCGCCGCACCGGATCGATCTTCTCTTCTTGATTTGATCTAGCGGCTGTGGATTCGAGCGCACGATACGCTTGTGTACCGCGCCGCATCGGATCCCTTGTCTTCCTTCGGCGCCGCCCTCGTCGCTGGCGATACTCCAATCGTTGGAAATTGTAGAAAATATGGTAAAAAAAAATTAAATAAAGCCCTAAAAAATCTGGAAAAATTCTATAAAAATCCCAAAAAATTTCAGAAAATTCCAGGGACCTTATTTAATTCTGTTGGACCTTCTTGAAGCTTCATAGTACCAATTGATGAATAAAATAGATATCAGATTAATATTATATTATTTGATCAACTTATAAATTACTTTTTTGGTAATTAATTATTGGATAAGTCTTTTCCTATTTATTCCTTACTTTGATGGAAAGTGGTATTAAAGTTACTAAAAGGCAAACTCGTCCTCTCTCTGCCTTTATAAAAGTGCATATTCCCATTAATTATGTACGTTAATGAAAACAATACGTATAATATTTATGTGTGCAAAAGGCCAAGAGAGAGAAAATCAGTTTCTACACTTTGACTTTCAGTTTATCACGTTGTTCATTCTACAAAAATGATCTCGACATTTGACTTGATATCTACGATATTTGCAATTACAGATCGAGATATTTATATTTAATTATTTATTTATCCAATATAGGTATGTGAGAATAATGAAGTTTTAAGATTTGGGATTCATGTTTATTTGTGATTCCGGTGCCGCTTATGTCGCCGGCAAATCTACGGTCGCCAGAATTTGCAGAAAATTTGGAAAAATTTAAATAAAGCCCTAAAAATTCTAGAAAAATTTTAGAAAAATAAAAAAAAAATAAAAATAAAAAATCCAGAAAATTCCAGGGACATTATTTAATACTCTTGGACCTTCTTGAAGTTTCATAGTACCCATTGATGAAGATTTAAAATTAATTATACATATAAAATACAATGAAAAAATAATTAAATTACATCATTAAACTTTCTAATAGTTAAATCAAAGCCTTAATTACATTCATCCAAAGATAATATCACATTAAACCTATAAGCTTCATCCATGGCCCAAAAATACATCATCATCCATTCATAATTATACATACATCATCATCATGTATCAATATATATTAACATATTAAATCATACATCAATAAATATATATATGCATACATAATTTGGATCCATGAATGACAATTTTCATAAAAACATGATCTCTAAGAATGAATCAAATCATGCTCTGATACTATTGTTGGTTTACACAGATGCTTCGTTGCAGGGTCTTGGATGTGTTCTGATGCAGGAGGAGCGACCGATTTTGTATGGATCTCGGAAGCTTAAGCCTCATGAACTTGTTTATCCAACACATAATTTGGAGTTGGCAGCTGTGGTTTTTGCCTTACGTATTTGGAGGCATTATCTGTTGGGTGAGTCCTTCAGATTATTCAGCGATCACAAGAGTTTGCAGTATTTGTTCACTCAGCGAGAGCTGAATATGAGATAGCGCAGATGGTTGGAGTTTGTGAAGGACTATCACTTCTCTATACAGTACCATCCAGGGAAAGCGAATGTGGTGGCGGATACACTCAGTCACCAACCTGTTGGTAGTCTTTCCGCTCTATTCACTACTGAGTGGAATGCGTTGAAGAAAGTGGATGAATTATCGGATGCTTTCATGGCTTGCATGGTCGTTACACCTTCTATCATTCATAAAGTTTTGAAGGCACAACTAACGGATCAACAGTGCATTGACAAAGTTGCAGAGATGGCTTCCGGAGAGGTTTCATTCTACCATGTTGGGGTTGATGGAGGTTTACGGTACAAGGGACGGTTAGTGGTACCTTCTGCTGATGAGTTAATGAAGGATGTGATGACTAAGACTCACCACTCTAAGTTTTCTGTTCATCCAAGAGGCGACAAGATGTATCAGGATATGAAGGGGCAATTTTGGTGGGCTAGTATGAAGAGGGACATTACTCTTTTTGTCTCACAATGTAGTACTTGTCAGATAGTCAAGATTGATCATTAGAGGCCGCCAGGAGCTTTACAGCCACTGTCGATACCGAAATGGAAATAGGAGAGCATTTCTATGGATTTTGTGGAAGGGTTGCCAAATTCCTTCAAGGATCACAATTTTATTTGGGTTATCGTGGACAGATTGACGAAATCAGCTCATTTCTTGCCTATTCGCATTGACTACACTTCGGAGCAGTTGGCAAGACTTTACATTACCAAGATTGTGAAGTTACATGACATTCCATTGTCTATTATCTCGGACAGGGATTCGAGCTTTGTGTCTGGATTATGGAAGAGTTTTCAGCAGGCTTTGGGTTTAGAGTTGCATCTTAGCACTGCTTATCATCCTCAGATTGATGGACAGACTGAGCGGGTGAATCAGATCATGGAAGATATGCTCCAGTCGTGTGTTCTTGATTTCAAGGGCCACTGGGAGGATTACTTACCGCTTGTGGAGTTTGCTTATAACAATAGTTTTCAGAAGACTATTGGGATGGCACAATTTGAGGCATTATACGGCCAACAGTGTTCATCGCTTGTTTGTTGGATGGAGGTTGGCGAGAGCAGATTCTTGGGTCCTGAGTTCATCAAGGATACTTTTGAGATTGTTCTTATTAGAGATCGCATGCGCACTGCCCAGAGTAGGCAAAAGAGTTATGCGGATCGTCGCACACGTGCTTTAGAGTTTCAAGTTAAGGATCGGGTTCTACTCAAAGTGTCTCCTATGAAGGGAGTCATAGGAGACACTTTAGAGTTTTGGGAAGAAAGAGAAGTTGTCACCGCGATTTATCGGTCCATTCATGATTACGGATCGAGTCGGAGCTGTTGTGTATCGGTTGGCACTTCCGGATAATTTGGATCGTGTACACAACGTATTCCATGTTTCCATGTTACGGAAATTTCTGCGAGATGAGGATCGGTATCAGCATATCGATGTTGGGGACATTGAGTTGCAGCCGGATGCAACTTATTTGGAGCCACCATGTCGTATTGTCGACCGGCGGGATCAAATCCTTCGTAACAAAGTTATTCCTTTAGTTTGTATTCAGTGGAGTCATCACAATGAGGCTGAGTCTGCTTGGGAACGGGAAGACGCAATTCGCTCGCAATTTCCTGCAATTTTGGAAGAAGGTAAGAGCGAATTCCGAGGACGGAATTCTTTTTGTTAGGGGGGAAGAATGTAATACCCCTAATTTCAAAAGGATAGTAATGGTATTTACTTTGTTGTTTAAATTACATTTTTAATTGCTGAGGTGCTTATGTGTTAATTTAATTGGTTTATTTGTTATTTTAATTGACTTTTGTTTGGTTTAATTGACTATTTGATTAATTGATTTATTAGTTATTTTAATTATGGATTTAATTGTATTCATTAATAATTGATTGTTTTAATTGTTTTGGTTACAATCTTGTTTAATTGAATTTAGTTAATTAAATTTAATTAGTTTCTATCTTAACGTAACTGTATGGAAGGCTGCACACAGATAGTTATACATTAGGGTTATAGTTCACAGCCGACATTGAATATAACCTAGATTTCTCTATGGGCCGAGTTTCAGTTTAGGGTTTAGTTGGACTTAGGTTTAGGGGTGGTCTATAAATACTCACCTAGGATGTCTACCTAGGGTTTTAGAAGAAAACTACGACATAGTAAGGCTGATAAAAGTTTTGAAAACAGCTGGGAAAGAACATAGAACAAACAAAGGATTCGCCAGAAATTTGTGACGAACGTCGGTGTAAGGCAAGTTTTATCCTTACTCTCTCCCTTAGGCTTCGTGT